CACTTCATTGGACGGGTCACGTGAAAAAGGGGCCCTGGCGGAGAGCCAACAGGAAGCCAGCCGTTTGGATTTGAAAGCAGCCATTTTGGCTCCATCCCAAATACGCTGGCCTCACTACACTTCCCTAATTGGGGGGGGTCAGCATTTGCCCTCAAAAGGCATTTTGTACTTCCGTTAAAGCCAAAATGAACGAGCAGTCACAGCCAATCAACGGCAGGGGTCCTATAAACCAGGGGTCCCCAAGCTTTTTTGCACCACGGACCGGTTTAGGTCAGACAATATTTTCAGAGACCGGCATTTAAGGTGTGGCGGAAATAATACAACAAAATAATATGGTATGAGCTGCATGCAAACTGGAGTGTTTTCCAAATATAACAATAAACACAAGGAGCGTCCAATTTGGTCATGTTTAATGCCTTCAAAATACTACACGATGCAAATTCAAAGTGCATGAAAATGACGACTCACCACAGCCCCGAGCTTGATTTTCTGCAACCAGACGGTCCCATCTCGGGGTAATAGGAGACAACGACGCCTCGATCGTGTGCTTTATGTCCAGTCTACTTCGTAATGTTGTGGTTTTAGTCGCCGTCTTGGCAGAAAAACCACCGCCTCACACAGGTAGGATGTGGGAAACAGCAACAGTGCTATTGTGGCGATGTCAGAGTGTTCAGCCACAACTCGAATCCAGTTGTCTCGGACGTACTTTTAAGGCCGCCGTCATTTGCGATCTCCAGCAGTTTTTTCGACTCGTTTTGCGAGCTCCGGTGTTTGTTTTTAGCCTAATTGGTCACGTGACGGAGAAGCGTGGCTTGACGTGTGTCAAGCTGGACACAGAATGATGTAACGGAAGATCCGGTAATTTTTCAAAATATAACATCTTTCGTATTCCGAAATAAATACAACTGAATTAAGGCAAGTTCTTTCTGTGCGGCCCGGTACCAAATGCCCTGCGGACCGGTACCGGTCCGCGGACCGGCGTTTGGGGACGTCTGCTATAAACATTTGCATCCTCTTGACTCTATGGAACAAAGCTCCGTATTGTTCGCAACGACGTCAGACCCTCAAGAGACCATCAGCCAACACCCATGTACAGAATACAAGTGAACGAGATGCACACACGCAGACGTGCGCTATGTGAAAATAAAGAGACACTTGCTCCTGTTGGCACCTCCTCCCATCACACACGCCGCCTCCACTCCTTCATCCCAGCTGTCACAACTGCAACAACTCCACAAATACGCAACACGACACACGCACACAGAGCACTTTTCCCGCTCGCACCGGTCGACTGCAGTTGCTGCCCACTCGTGAATGTGCATTTGCGTGTGTGTTTGTTTGTTTGTGTGCTTGCGTGCCAGTGTACATCCTCCTTGCAGTGCATTGACACCTCCTTTCCTGTGAACTGTGACTAGCATCCCCTAAAAAGGGGGGAAAATCAACCGTGGGAGTGAAGAAGTGAAAGAGTAGGTGAGGGAGTGAGTGAGCGAGTCAGCGAGTGATCGCGTGTTTGTGACAGTGTTAATGTGGGTGTGTGTGTGTGTTAGTTAGTGAACATGTGATTGTGAGAGTGAGTCTGCGTGAGGGTTGGCAACGTGGCCAAGAGTTTCCTGTTCGTCCTCCAAACACGTGTGAGGTCATAAATCTCATCGCCACGGCAACACGATGCACAGGCAGGAAGCATCGCAGATTAGGAAGATTATTCGCGGGTGCGCCGCAAATTGCACTAAATACCTCAATTTGTCCATTTCATTTGATATCTTTTTGGATGACAAATTATTCATCCCGGAGTAAAGATGTGATTTATGCCCCAAATTTCTATCAAATTAAAAAAGCAGTGTTATCATTTGGTATTAGGGAAGAGTTGGATTGGTCAAATTGGAGAGATTCTTTCAAGCAGACTCCCTCCAGTACACTTGACACACTGAGATGAAGGTGAAGCACGAGAGAAAACACATTTTACTCATCTAAGATTCTTTTTTTTCTTGTCATGTATATTCCATGTTGTATGTGCTGTTTTATATTGTTTCGATGGAAAGATCACAAGTTGGAAAATGAATCATTGAATGATTTTTCATCAAGGTTTTTTTTTTTTTGGGGGGGGGGGGGGGTTCCCCATCAAGGGCAGTTCCGCTCCATTGCCCTCAAGGGTGCTCGTGATCTTGACAAACAAATGGGAAGCAAAGCCTAAATCCGAAACAAAGCAAATAGTCCTGCTAGCAAAATCCAGATATTGGAGGCTTTTATTGACTTATTGATTTCTTTGTTGATTTATTTTTGCCCACTCAAAACCATCAGGATGGAAAAAAACATTTGAGCAAAGCTAATTTGTTCTAAACCGAAGCGACGCATCGCGCACGGACACAAAAGGGGAACGTGGGCCACATCTTGGGCTCTCGGTGGTGATTCTGGCACCGGGCGGCCGACTCGTTTCCATCGTGGAGCCCCGGCACACGCGTCTGACTTGGGCAAGCACGCAAGATTATTTGCAACACCTCCGAATAGCGCAGACGGACCACCTGCTGCGCGACAGCGACATTCAACGTGTCGAGAGAAAGAGAGAGGTGAAACGCGGCGATGCCGCCGCGACGTGTGTGGAAAGTCGGCGATCATAAAGCCGGGCACCTTTTTACGACGCGGCCGGCGCAAAGACAATGATCAAATACGACTTACAAAATTGAAACGTGCAAGCGCACTGCACTTGACCGTCGTTTGGTGCTACAAGAGCGACCGACCGCGCTCGGGACTCTGTCCCAAACCAAAACTTTCATTTTTACGATCACGCATCCCGCGGTCACATTTTCTGACTCCTTTGGGAGCGAATAAGCGGCAGGCAGCGCCAGTCCAGCAATGGCTGCTCTTGCCAAGGCCCAACAAACGGGGGCCACAGGCCGGCCGGCTGGTTGGCGGCGTGCCCCCGGCCCCCGCACGCCCCCCTTTGCACACGCACGCAGCTGAACGAAAGCGTGAAGGCGGCCTATAGATCAACCGTTGGCGGGACCGGTCGGGTTTGAGCGAGCGCTCAGACGGCCGCACGCCACCGCGGCCAACATTTTTGCGGCACCTGACCCCGCGTAAGCTGACCGATGCCAACGTGCGCGTGAGCATTTGCACCACTTCCTCGAACCCCAGCTTAGGCCTTCTTTTGAAATGCTGGGAGGTGTGTGTGTGTGGGGGGGGCGAGGAACTAGCAACAAAAGCAAAAAAAAAAAAAAAAAAAAAACGAGCTGGAAAAGCCACAAAACGGCAACAAAAAAAATTGGGGTGGGAGGGCAGGGGGGCTCTTTTTCTTTCCAGCGTGGCCTTTCATTTGAAAAAAAACAAGAAAACACCAACTCATGTTCTTCATCTGAAATGAGCTGTAAGCGTCGAGCCAAGACGACGGCGGGGAGCCCGAGGTCGGCGTCCTTCCCGTCTTTCCCTCCTAAACGTCCAGCTGTTGCCGCGGTGACAGCTGCCCGGGCGAGCAGAACCAATCTCAGCTGTCAGTCGGAACGCGCCGCAGAGGTTCACGGATGATTTGGACAGAGCGGCCGGTCGAGCGCTCTTCAAGCAAAACTCCCCAACTGCTCGGGCTTCGTTGAGCCAGCCCAAGGAACTGGAGTGCGCTTGGCGGGAAACGTCGGAGGCCCGAGGCCTTGTCGCACCGTCGACCTCTTGCCTGACCCGCCTGAATCGTCATGGAAGCAAATCAAGTTGCCTCTTTCAGAGGACGGCGTTTTCAGCACAAACACGTGGCTGTTGGGATGCTGCTGTCATGTTTGTTTCAGTCAGGTTTTGGGCATTGTTATGTTTTATCTTCAGTCATGTGTTTTGTTTGATACTTTGGACTTTGTTTGTTTTGGATTTAGTTTTCTGAGTTTTAATACAATCTTTCAAGTCCACCCGGCTCCTTCCTCCTGCCTGCTTTTTGGGGTCCACCACCACCTCGCAACGTGACACTTTTCTTCGACGCGGTGAACCAATAATACAGTCACTAAAAAAACAAAACAGTAAACTGAAAAAAGGGGGGAAAGTTGTCGGGTTGGCAACGGTTGTAAAGGTGTTCCCGTGTCGCCCTCTAGTGGAGCTTGGTTGCAATCACACATCGACTTCCATAGACGTCCGAGATGAGGACATGGCGAGAAACAGCGTCCTCTCTGGTGATGTTGCCGCTCGTGCCGCGTTGGCGCCTGCGGGTCACCAACAGCAAGACCCATTTTGGAGCGCCGGCTGGATCGTTCGGAGGTGAGCCACCAAGTCTTTCTTTTGCCTCTTCCATCAACTTGGGCATCCCTTTCAAAGTTTTAACTTGCATCGGCTTTGGAGGCCAGCAGACCGCGTCTCTCTCGCAAGAAGGCGGCCGGGGGCCAAGGCTCGGGCCCGGGTCGTCCCCGCCGCACGTGTCCGCTGACAGCTTGAGCTTACAAACGATTCGTTTGGTCTGGTTTCTTTGCAAAATCCGACGGCGATCTGGAATTCTACGACGGACGTGAAAGCATTTTCCCCTGCTTCGGCACGGCTTCACTGGAAACGCTAATCGAGCAACATCACTTCCACTCTGTGGCCGGGCGAGTTTTTCATTTTATTCGGATCGAGTGAGGGCATTAGATACTTCCTTTCAAGCAAGCTAGCTCGAATGGTCCCGCGCGGCAGGTTGGGAACGACCGGGCTCTCAGAGAAACATCAAAGATCAAACTCTTCAATCGGTAGCGAGTATTCTGAACAGAACATGCCCATCAAGGTAGGCGGGGGTGACTTGCTGCATATTGCAAACGAGATGCTTTGGCAGTGCACGATCATAAAATGATGTGGAGACGGCGCCTTTCGCATTGGCAGAGTGACACAAAGAGAGGAAATCATTTCCCACCCCGGACCGTAACTTGCCAGCCTGAGAACATTGCAAACATTGCCTTTGTCTCTCTCGACTGGATAAAGGAATACATGGCATGCAAATACTGTACAAAAATGGACTGTAGGACTGATGACAAGGGTTTGGGGATTTGTTTTATTTTTCTTTGGGGCTAACGATCCTGACATGAAATCACCTCATGCGCGACGTGCCGCACTGGACTTGCCGGATGTTCTCTCCTCTGCTCATAGTGTGACAGTCAAGTATGACGGGGAAAAAAAATCGCTCCTTGGAGAAGGTCGTCTCGTCATCCTGCTGTACGGCTTCCGCAAAGGGTCAAGGTTTGTGCTTAAAACAGGCCTCCACTGCCAAAGAGAAAGGGGAGAGGGGGCGGGTGTCACGTAAAGGCGACTAAATGTTGGCGCCGGTTAGTCTTCCTACTCGTAGCACTCGGAAATCACTCCGCCGACCCCCTTCCCACCGGCGACGCCATCTGACGTCATGGCAACAAGGCTCCAGTCGTTTGTCAACTTGGGCGCGCGGCAACATCAAACTCGATGGTCATTTTAGGCTTCTTCAAAAACAAACTGCGGCCAGATATTTTCTCCCATGACCATCAAATGCACACTTTGGAAATGAGGGCGCATTTTTTGGGGTCATCGCCGAGCATGGCGGCAAACATTGAAGGACCTGCGCTGAATCACCAAAACGCGAATAAACCTTGACGGCGGAAGAAGTCAAAGGTCGGCTCTTTTCCCTGAGCTGGCAGCGAATGAGTGAAGTCAGCCGCACAAGTTCCGAATTTGGCTCGGAATCTTGAGAAAACGGAGCTCCCGAAGCCACGTGCAATTTGGCAAGTGCCGCGTTCTGATCTGGAGTAGAGCCACCGAGCGATTTCGAGATGCTACGCCCGTCACTTTCGGAAGTGGGGAAACTTTGCTGACTCGCCGCGAAACCTAAAGCGCTACGAATGACTGCGCAAGTTGACCGCCGCCTGACAAACACGACGTGGAGATCGAATAAAGTTGACCTCTTCGGACAGAAGGCGACCGAACAACGTACCCGCGTACTCGGGCGGGAGCATGGGCCGGTCGACCGCCATCCGGAACGTGGCCACCCAGTCCGTTCGCTCCCGCTCGCTCTCGCACACGAGAAGGAAGGTCCTGTCCGGCGTCGCGACGGTGATCCCGAACTGCCAGCGGGAGCTCTGAACGCCCGACGGGAGGCCCGGCAGGACGCTGTAGCCGTCGTCCTTGCTGCCGATGAACACCTCGCCTCGCGCGTAGGCGTCCTGCCAAAGCGGGGAGTGGCATCAACGCGGGGCAAATCGGCAGCCGAGCCCTTCCCCGAGTACCCACCAGCGGATCTTTGAAGTACATGAGCCTCCTCTCGTCCATGGAGAACCACCTCTTCTTAAAAGCCTCCGTGCGCTGCACACGAGAGAAGCGTTTGAAAGTGGGCCCGGCGGACGGCAGCGGTCGGAGCGTCAGTCACCTTGGGGCCGGTCTTCTCCATGAAGCCCTCTTTCACAAAGTTGCGGGTGACCCTGGGCAACAGCTGGAAGAACAGCGAGCCGGTTCATCCTTCGGGTGTCCGAAGGGGGCGACGACGTTTGCAGCCGGCGCGCGTGACTTACGTCCGCCGTGGGAGCGCCAGGGAAGGCCACCTGCAGGTAGTGCAATCTGGCCGCTCGGACGGCGTTGAACCAGTCCACCATTTCCTTCGGAGAAGGACACGCGGGTCGCTAAGGCGCACAAAGCATCCGATCGCGCCGGCCGGATGGATGGAGAACCCGAGCCGGTTTCACTCGTGCCGGCTGACGTCGAAGCGAACCGACGCTGAGCTGGGAGGATTGGGGCCGAAGGGAGCGGCTACCCGCGGGGGTCTCTCGAGCTCCAGAGCTCCGACCCGGAGGTGTCGGCTTTTGTTTGGAGCTCCGCTTCGCCTAACCCCAGTGTAAGTTTGAGCTCCCCCAGCTCGCGGAACCGCGCTGGGCTCGGCAGCCATTTTGTTTGATCGTGACCAAATTTGAACGATGGGTTCCAAACGGTTGGCCGACACAGAAGTATTGAACGCAACGCTCTCGTCGATCGGCTCCGGCGGGTCGGGGCTCAATCAAAGGCGTTGAAATGTGAAGATGCGACGGGAGCGCGGGCCGGCAGTGAATTCCACACGGTCACGCACCTTGCCGTCCTCGTGGTAAACAAAGATATTGCGAGTGCTGTTGTCCTTCAAGTAGGTGATCTGAAGGCCGTGGGCCGTGCCGATTTTGGTCGGCTGGAAGGTCGCGTTCAGCGTGCCGATGCTCATGATGGCCTTCGGCTCTCTCCCCTGCGGCGACAAACGTTTGCCGAACACGAATGTACGGCGACTTAGTCCGCGGCCGAAATGTGCGCTTTCTCATCCGGAAATATGTTTGCCGCTCGGAAACGGTGGGATACGAGAAACTCCGATCGTGTCTCCGCAGCACTCACATCCGGCTTGACGAAGTACTTGAGCGTGCCCTCTTGTTCGGACAGGATGAATTTTCGGCTGAGGTACTGTCCGTTGTCTCGGCCTCGTTTCCACAGAAAGCCTTCCCGGTAGCCTGCCGCGTGATGACACCACACAGTGTATTTCTCCAGCACTTGCAAACAACCGCTGCGGTATGCAAAATGCCGTACACGGAGCAAAAACAATTCGGACAAGACAACAATATTCAATGCGCTTTGTTTGCCCTTCGTATTTACAATTGAGCTCCTGCTCCGAAAGTGCATTCATCTTATTTGTCCCCGACACTCCGAGGGTGAGAGAACCAGAAATTGCGCGGCAGGAAGATGTGGTTTATCATTGCCTAACACTCACGCTTACACCACAAAAGCGGACACACACAAACACACAGTCACACAAGAGAAACAAAAGACAAAACCAGCGCCGTCATCTTCTTTCTTTCGACTGCAATGCACTGCTGCAAGCGATCATGCAAATAGTTGTTAAAAAAAAAAAAAAAAAAAAAAAAAAAAAAAAAAAAAAAAAAAAAAAAAAAAAAGCAAACGCCCTTGCCCCCGAAAGAAGCGGCCCCATGGAGAGTGTCGGAAGGTCAAATCCAGCCAACGGTGGAGGATTTTGCATTTCAACGACAGCGATGCAGCTCCAGACGAGCGGCATGTGGAATTTTTCAATCAGGCAAAAGACAAAAGCGCTCCATTCTTCCCGCGCAGCACAAGGCGCTATTGAGGCCCACTCGGAGATGTCGCGGGACTCCGCTCATACGTGGATGCTCCGTTTCGATAGAATCTTCATGCGCGGGGCGGTTCAGAATATGCCGCAAGGCACGCGACGCATACTGCCGGTCCACCGCGAGCGGCGTGATGGGCTCTCACCTGCTGAGTAGGACTCCTGCGACCCCCCGGGCATGAACTCCTTCCTCTCGTACTTGGCGCGGATCCACTGCTCCCGCAGGAGTCTGCCCGAAAAGCACACCACAGAGAACGCCCTTCGCTTTTGCAAAAGATGCAATATCGCAAAGATACGTTGTCCCGTTTTATCTCCGAGAAATCAGAGTTCATGCGCTTGTTAGGCCTCGCCATCGTATTGCTCTCCGGTCTTCCCGTGTCCGGTGTTAAAAAAGCTTGCAGCTCGTACAAAATACCGCAGCTCGACTCCCGACGAGGAAGTTGGATCACATGACTCGCCGACTTGCAGCGGCTCGCGGTCCGTTTGAGACGCAATTTCAAGGTTTTGCTACTGAGCTATGAAATAGTCGACGGCTTCGCACCTTCCTATCTCGGTGACTTTGTGACAGCGGATGTTGCGCCCCCAACTCTTTGTTCACAAAGCCCCTTGAGACCGCTTGGGATGAAGGGCGATTGAAAGGAACGTGACTTGACTTGACTCGATGTCCGATTCACATTTCCGCCGCGTGGCTACAGCGCACCCACAAAGTACATTTGTCTCTCGCGGCAGCAGCGTATTGGACTTTCTTTTGAGTTCTAGCAAATACATCGCAGCAAATGCTCTTTAAAACGGTCACTTTGACAGTGTATTGTATGCACGCTATCGACGCTGTCCGATGCGGCCGATCGCCTCCGTCCGCACCCGTCCGA